AAATAGCTCCTCCCTAGCTCTGTTACATATATGGATGCCCTTACCCTTAGAAAGCAACAACATTCTGGTGACAGACAGACAGATTTGAGCAATTCATCAGAGATTACAATGTTTCAGTGCACAACACTTTTGAGCTTTATTAGTATGGAAAACTTAAAAATGAGAACAAAGTGTCAAGCACATACTGACCTTTCAGCATATCAACACAGACAATTGCCCTGTTCACTTCTATTTGTTCTGTTTGTTTGAATGGATACAAGAGCTATGTATGTTCTGAATCAGCTGTGAAATTCAATTCACTACTGAGACTGCAGAATCCAATAAAATAAAATAAGTGAACTTGGGTCAGACAGAGTATGAACAATGCACTCTAAGGTAACTTAAACACCAAATCATTAATCATTACCTTAGATAAGAGTCAAGGATCAATGCCAGTCAATGAAACCTAAACTAAACTTGGTGGTTGACCAAATAATAATTTCAGTACTCTGCCCCAGCCAGCATAAACTAAACTTGGTGGTTGACCAAATAATAATCCTCATTGCTTCCGTCCTAGTTAGAAGAGTAGTTCAGTGATATCAGGCTAAATATTTTCAAGAAAGAATCAAACAAACTGGAAAGCATTCTCCATTCTTGTAGAGTGAAACAAATATTTTCAAGAAAGAACCAAACAGATATTTTCAATTTCACTTCAAGATAGTAGGAATCCATACCATTCTGTAAAATAAATGCACCACCAAGACATATCAGGTGCTTTTTTACAAACAGCAGCATCCTGTCAAAGGAAAGGATTCAAGAAAGAGGCACTTGATTCATTCATTCATGGTAAGAAAAGAAATAGATCTTATTTTTAAGAAACACCAGTTAAATACCTCCTCTTCGCCAACAGTTAAATTCCTGCTGCTTCATGCGAAAAAGGAGGACAAGCCTGATAATTCCATGATTCCAGCCTCACTTCTTGCAGCTACCACTCAAGACTTCTTCTTGATCGGTACCAAGTGAGTGAGTGATGTCTCGCATGCCCTTTTT